CGAAGCCAGATAATTTTATGAAATGATGATGTATTTTAGCTTGATAATCATTACGTTTCTCAATCTAATCTTATCCTAGACAGGATTATAAGTGTGTGTAAAGTGTTGCTTGGAATCTACAGCATGTCTCTATAAAAATTAATAGCCACATTAAATGATTTATGATTCTTGCTTAATGCTCCTTGCATAATCTTAGTATTATTGACACAGAGGTTGAAACACACTATTTGATACCATCCATGACCAGATACTCCAACTTTTGTATATTTTCTACCTCCATAGACCATTTTTAGCATTCATAAAGTTATATTGAACGAAATGCTATACAATATTCTTTATCTATCAGATATATCACCTCCGATAGAATAATCCTTCATAACTGATGTGTGAGTGATGTTATTTACAAATTCACAGATGGGACGAGAATCGCAAAATCAAATTCGATTTCCGATCTACTTACTTCTGATTTTCACATACTTATCAATGACCAAAAATACCACGTCGATACCTCGTCAATCTGTAAGTCCTTCTTTATTATTAAACATAACAACTTAAACCGCTCTTGAAAAAAACCTTTAATTGTAGTTAATGGATACCCATTCTCTGCCGAAGAAATCAGAAACAACTGTCCAGTGATTTTTAGTTTTCAATGTCTCTTTTTCTTCATTGTAAACATACATTAAAATATGGAGATGATTTTTAAGTAGTGTTGGATAGGAACTAGAAGTGATATCTAGAAGGTGGATTTCATCTGTTTTTTGGGATTCTTCAGCCGGATATGCTGACATCTAAGTATTGATGTTCACACCTGAACTCGAATCGGGTACTCCTCGCTTCAAACAGCTAATACATTGATCACTGAGCCACTGAGTCGAGACAGCCACTACCTTATGCAGCTGGGATGATATCGTTTAAATCTTTCTGTTAATATTAAGGATTTGAATTGGTCAGTCGCCTTCTAAAGTATAAAAAAATACGGGCACATCTTCCACTAGATTTCAGGTAGATATTTTAATAGTAATGTTTATCTCAAAAAAAGAAGGATTCCGTAAAATATTACTAGTCTAAACAATAATGCTCAGAGCTCAACTTCGTGAAAGTATTCTCTCAGATATTGATGATAAGTCATATAAACTACATTGTAGTCAATTGTACAATGAATTTTATGTTTCATTAAATTTTCGGAAAGAATTTAAAGTAAATACATTTTGTAAAGTATTTGTTAGAGTTTTACAAATAGTGCATATACTTTTGTTTTATGACTGTTTCTACTTTTAAAATTAAACTAACATTTTTCAGTATCGTTTTTAATATCGTTACATAAAATTTATTCTCGTTATTTAACTACTATACATTGTTTAAATGCATAATAATATCTATGTTGAAATATGTTCCAGTGAATAATTATTGCAAGGATACCAGTTCTGAGCTTCATTTACTAACATTTTTAACTCGGAATATTATTTTACTTAGTGAAAACAGTGGACTGATGAATCTCCTCCAATATCATTTTAAACAGTCAGTATTTAATATGATACCGAAGTATATCAAGCTGTTGAATCCATTAGGAAAGTTCAGTTAACAAAACATGAATCTGGTAGTCCCGAATCGACTCATCTGTATCCTAATGTATTTCATATTCTCTTTTAGTTTTAATCACTAGGTCTGTAAGGATATTTAAATCAACTGTTCAAACTCTTGATGTTTGTTTTTCAACTGTTTATATTTTGATCGAATAGTAACCAATCGATTTCGCAATATATTTCTGTCATTTTTTCATGTGAATAATTTAGTAATCAGCTATTTTCATTTTGAAAAGTCGATAATTTGCCTATGATATGATTGTCGTGCATTCCGTTGTTTTATTCAAGCAAAATACATCAAGATAACTGAACATTTTGATTGGATTAAAGCGTTCATTGAACAGGTTTTATACGTAGCTTGTGACCACCATCGATTTTTTCCTGTTTATATGAGCCAATAAAATAAATATTTCGCATAAAAGGTAGTTATTATTCAGTGAGAGATGGTGGTTCGTTAAAATAAGAGGGGAGTGTATCTTTAATCATATTAGCTTATGGGAAATCAAACAAATCAGTTGTTTATTAAGTATTATTATTGGATCAATTTTAAGGAAGGCTGTGAAAATAAAGTGATTCACAGTTGAAGAAAAGAATCGTGCTACCAGGTAAAATCTAGCTAGCCAGATTGCAAATTGTGATTTCCATATCCAAGATAATTCTTTATACCAGTTTACAATAAATCATACTGTTTAGTGAAATTAACTTATCACCATGTATCAATACCGGGGTTGGACTTGATAGTTTCAAGTAAATTGAACATTGGGTATAAAGTTAATAAATATATCTTTTGTTACATCCCAAAGAGTAGAGAAATTGTATTTCCGACGTTTCGTCACTTAATGTAAGCCACTTCTACTCATTGGGATGTGACAAAAAGCATATTTATTATCATTGCCATATATTTATCAGTAGTATTTGATGACCTATGCACAACATTGTCTCAAACCGTTTATAACTATTAGTATCAATAATTCAAATATTCAGGTGATAATTTAAATAGTTAGGTTTTTATCTCTCCTATCCTGAACCTCCGTTGGTGTATTTCAATATAATCGATAAATCACAGGATTTATTATTTTTTTTAAACTCTCCGTCAGAACAACAAAAGACAAAGTGAGTTTTGACATGTCTTTTGAGGTTATTACGTGCCTGTGCAAGCGAAATGTAAATATCACAACGAATGTGAATTTATAGACTGAAATATGTATGTAACTAATGTATTGTTGTAACAAAACTGGAGAACATTTAATAAATTTGTATTCCTAAACAGTAAAACTATAATTTCGTACAGATGTCTAGAATTATCGTGCTCTCCAAGAGACCTGAAAGACCTTGACTCAACTCTGTGTAGGGTCGTGGGAACATACTCTTGGATGTTACATCTTAGGATGAAACACCTTTACAAGACATCCTGGTTTCCAATAGTCTTCAGTTGGTTGATTTTAGTTTGTGTTGAGAACCGTCTTCAAAATGAAACTATCTTCACGGACCATCTAACATGATAAAGTTCCCATTCTCAATCCGGAGATTTTAATAATTCTCAGAAAATAACTTTCATTATAATGCATTGAAAGAAATCCAAAGTTTTGACTCTTCAATGCTGGCTTTAAATTAATTTTCTGAAGGGAAGATTTTAACGGTATAGTATTGTGAAAAATAATAATGATAGTACGTTTTGAAAAAGGTTGATTTATAAGTTATCTCATGTAGAAGTTTATCAATTAGTTCTGTTTTACAATTCGGACTTCTTTTATTTGAATTTACGAACAGGAAAAAGATGATATAAAGTGATTATGTAATGTTTTTAGATTTCACTCACGCTTTATATATTACATCAGTCGACTTTCAAGCGTGACATGATTATTGTTTCTTTTTAACTGATATTAAGAAAAAAATAATGTAGGTTCAGCTGGTCAAAAATGTATCGTTTTACTTTTTTGGTCAATACTCACCGCTAATAAACCATTCAGAGAGTAAATTTACTGAACAACCGTTTTCCGTATGTATTAGAATGGAATTTTCATGTGAATAAAACTGAAGGTACCTATGATATTACTATTTTAGGTCACATACCTTTAATCATTATTTTTTAATATTCTCATTTGATTGAAATTCTAATCACATTTTTCAATGTTATATTGGTCAATTAAAGCAACCAATTTGACTAGAAAGGTCTTTTTTCCAATAAAATCTGACTTAGTTAAAATATAAAAGATTAGTTGTCCATCATAACACTAAGAGATTTGAAATTATTTGCTTATGGTTTGACCTTGTTCAATCACGAATACGTCAAAACTTTTACTTCATTTGAAACGACTAAAAATGGTTCTGACAGTAGTGATCTATTATCAGTTTTAATAAATCCACATGAAAAGTGTTTTTTCTCCAGCAGAAGAAATTCCCAAGTTTTATTCATATTTACAGAACTGTTTCCAAAAAAATATGTAAATCAGCGTTTTGTTGTAACTACTTTTTAAGAACAACAAATATTCATTATAGGTATTTATGATGAGTCCGCTAGCATTTTTCGGGGTGGAAGTAGGTGTAGAACCAGAATTACTAAAATTTCGATACGTTCTGTATACCTCCTACCATTAGTTCGTCACATGCTGAAATCTGGCAGTAAATTAAAATATAACTATTCAGTTATAACAGCGGTAATAACTAAACCAAGTTACATATAATATGTAGAATTTACAGGGATACCTAGACAGTTTTGATCCTGCAGATATACCATCCTATATATACTCAGTAAATTCGGGAGAATCGAATGACCAGTGATTATAAGCTTCCTGTAAAACAGAGAACGTTATTTTGTACGCCAAAACCTAGTACAGTCAAATTTTCAAACAAGACGTTTTTGTTAAGTACAAGACATAGTTCTATCCACAATGGATAGATCAAATTCATCAATTTAATGGCAAATAATCTAACACAGGTAATCAAAATGGAAGTCACCAAATATAAAGGTTAGATAAAACAAAATTAAGCCAGTCAGTAAAAACGATACAAATAAAGCAATACGTTAGAAAAACCATGATAAGTTAAATGAATAGTATTAATTTTCTTTAAAAACAAAATGCTCACTAAACCAAAATACTGAGAACCGCTACCTTACCTTTAAAATGAAATAAAGGGTTATTGTCAGTTGTAGAGTATACATGGTGAGACTTTCATACACATCTATGCACATGCATATGAAGAAGGCCTTACGTTAGGTGTAATATTTTTAATCAGAATCACTTCTGATATCATAAAAGGCCTATGAAGCCCATATTGTAGATATTATTTTCAGTTATTTATCAGTAATTGTTAGGTGTATGTACTTGATGTTTATAGGAATTCCAACCGTTTATTTATCAAAAATAATTACCTTATTTACTGCACTTCTAAAAAATTCTGTTTTTTTTTTCACAGCCTCCCAGTTTAGTGTATTGCCAAAGGATTTAGCAAATGTTCGAGAATTAGTCTCAAAACTTGCCAATGCCATTCATGTAGATGAATTTTATGCACAAAAACAACAACAACTTGAGAAATGTATAGAAGATGTGAATCTGCAATTGGAACCATTTGAAAAGGTATACCAATTAATTTAGATATATTGCTTCGATTACATAACTGTACCAGAAATTGTTTTGGTTCACAGCGGAATAAACATTGCGTCTTATGTAGTTTATACATGTGTATATATGTTTTTATTGCATAATGCATAAGGCTGTAGGATTTACTGTGTATTACTGTCTTAGTATTGTCACTTAAATTTCAACTTACCCCAATTTAAGTAATGTAAGCTTAACAGATATTGGTAACCTGAAGGTATTATTTTTCAGTAAAAATATCCAAATAGGAAATATCCCTGACCCCTTATTGTTTTTAGGATTTCTAACAAGTATGCTGGCTTTGAGAGGGCAGACTAAGAGATAACATCAGTCCGTTGGGTTATTGACTGTTAAATTGAGGCATATATGGAGTTATGGTCTTCTTCGTTGAGGTTTGTCACACAATCAGAGTCTATGTTTAAAAACCTTACGTGATATCTTTCGAAATCTGTTGCAATGACTCAGATGTATTTATTTTTCAGATTCCTCCTGAACTTTGCACATAGCATTATTCCATACTTTAATTCCCCAATTATATTCATTCTTTTGGAGCTATTTAGGCTATATATTTATTTTTCAACTGCTGTTGGATTCATTTGTTTGACTTCTTTACTTTACATTATGCTAAATTCTTCTCTCTGCTTTGATGGGAAGCGTGGAAACATGTACTGATGAATAATACATATACTATGTCTGATGTTTATCATTCGAATACCGACAAAACCTAGTTTTTGTTTCCCATCCTTATTGTAATTATTTAGTTAGGACTGTTCGTAACTTAACTAAGTATTACTCTAATGCAGTTTATTTTGTCTCTCATCTATTTAAAACTAAGTTATTCCATGTCTGATAAAACTTTCAATCGGATGGAAAGAACATACCCTTTTTCGAGGGAAAACTTATCAATTATATTTTTGCGTACTGATTTCTGGGAAAAGACTCCCTTTATTCTTGAAAAATTCATTTTATTTGACAAGTATCTCTTGACAAACAGTGTTTATTCCGAGGGATAAATAAGTTTTCCATTCCATTTTTGTCGGCTATGAAAAATGAAAATTGCATTAGCAAAATTTTCAATGGTTGAAATTAAAGAAATTCAGCATTTCGTTTGGCAGTCTGGTCCCAGCCTCTTTAGGAGAACAATAAGAAAATCGGGATTATCTTTCTTACAAATTGTTTTATCAGATTGTTAAATTATTACATAAAGTGAACATCCTCTTTTGATCCCACTGATAGAAATCGCTTTTTTCTCTTTTCTAACTATCAGTAACAACAATATTGAATGCTTTATCATGAATTCTTATTCATAATGTGGGGAAATAAACTATGAGTTCACCAGATGTAAAGGTTTGAATTTTTCCGTTGTCTTAAATCTTAAGAAAGGAAAATTTTAATCGATACAATTAGTAAATATCATACATGCCGAAAAAATTGGTGTTTATCATGAATGAACACTCTTTTGGATAATGTTGTGACTTTCTTACTTATATATATATATATATATATATATATTGAAAACTTATTCTGTTTAAAGCAAACAAGTGAGTAATTTTCTGAGTAAATCATTGATTTTATTGTTACCCTAAGGGTACATTCAAAAAGGGTTTAGCTTCCTCTAGCTTATTTTCTATAAACTTACTTACGCCTGTTACCCCTCGTCGAGGAGCATAGGCCGCTCACCAGCATTCTCCATCCAACTCTGTCCTGAGCCTTCCTTCCCAGTTCTTTCCAATTGCTATTCATCCTTTTCATATCTGCTTCTATTTCCCGGCGTAGTGTGTTCTTTGGCCTTCCTCTTTTCCGCTCCCCTTCCGGATTCCAAGTTAGGGATTGAGTCGTGATGCACATTGGTGATTTCCATAATGTATGTCCGATCCACTTCCAACGTCTTTTCCTAATTTTCTCTTCAGCTGGAAGCTGGTTTGTTCTCTCCCATAAAACGCTGTTGCAGATAGTATCCGGCCAATGGATGTTGAGTATTATGCGTAGACAACTATTGATAAATACTTGTACCTTCCTGATGATGGTCGTAGTAGTTTTCCTCGTTTTAGCTCCATACAGTAGGACTGTCTTGACGTTCGTATTGAAGGTTCTGACTTTGAAATTAGTTGAGAGTTGTTTTGAGTTCCATATGTTCTTCAATTGTAAAAATGCTGCCCTTGCTTTGCATATCCTCACCTTTACATCTGCATCAAATCCTCCTTGTTTATCAACGATGCTACCCAGGTACTTGAATGTTTCCACCTCTTCCAGAGTTTCGCAATCAAGTGTGATTGGGTTGGTGTTCTCCGTGTTGCATTTGAGAATCTTGCTTTTTCCTTTGTGAATATGGAGGCCTATGGATGCAGAGGCTGCTGCTACATTTGCTGTCTTCATCTGCATTTGTTCGTGTATATGAGAGAGGAGGGCCAGATCATCTGCGAAGTCCAAATAATCTAATTGATTCTGAGAAGTCCATTGTATTCCGTGTTTCCAGTCAGATGTCGAATTCTTCATAATCCAGTCAATCACTAGAAGGAAGAGGAATGGGGAGAGTAGACAGCCTTGTCTAACTCCGGTCCTTACTGGAAATACATCTGTCAGCTGTCCTCCATGCATGACTTTGCACTGTAGTCCATCGTATGAGTTTTGGATAATGTTGACAATCTTTTCAGGAACTCTATGGTGTCGAAGAAGTTTCCATAATGTTCTCCTGTCCACGCTGTCAAACGCCTTCTCATAGTCAATAAAGTTGACGTATAGTGATGAGTTCCACTCAACTGATTGTTCAACGATGATCCGTAGTGTCGCAATCTGGTCTGTGCACGACCGATCCTTACGGAATCCAGCCTGATGATCTCTAAGTTCGGCGTCTACTGCGTCTTTCATCCGATTCAGCAGCACTCTGTTGAAAACTTTTCCTGGTACTGATAACAATCTGATGCCTCTGTAGTTTTCACATTTGCTCAGATCTCCTTTCTTTGGTATCTTGACGAGGTATCCTTCTTTTCAGTTCATTGGTACTTGTTCCTCTTTCCAAATCTTCTTGAATAGAAGGTGAAGCATGTTTGCAGTTATTTCAATGTCTGACTTCAGTGCTTCAGCTGGTATACTGTCAGGTCCTGCCGCCTTCCCACTTTTGATTTGTCTGATGGCCATCTTGGCTTCTTCGATCGTTGGTGGAGTGACATCTATTGGAAGGTTAGTGTGGGCTGCTTCGATGTTTGGTGGATTCAATGGGACTGGTCTATTCAGCAGCTCCTCGAAGTATTCTGTCCATCTTTTCCTCTGTTCTTGAATCTCAGTGATTGTCTTTCCTTCTTTGTCCTTGACTGGTCTCTCTGGTTTGCTATATCTTCCTGCCAATTTCTTCGTTATATCATATAGTTGTCTCATATTCCCTTCTCTTGCAGCTTTTTCTGCCGTCGTTGCTAGTTCTCCCATGTATTTCTGCTTGTCGGCCTTAATGCGTTTCTTCACGTGCTTGTTTGCTTCTGAGTAGTCTGCTTGTGCTTTGACTTTCTCTGCTCGTGTTCGGTTGTTATTAATTGCTAGTTTCTTGTTCTTCCTTTATTGAATCTTGTCCAGGGTTCCCATAGAGATCCACTCCTTGTGATGATGCTTCTTAGGACCAAGAACCTCCTGACACGTTGAGGTAAGTGCTTCTTTTACCCCTTTCCAGTTGTCCTCCAATGTAGTTTCTTGTTCTTTCAGTAGATCCTGTAGAGCTTGGAACCTGTTGTTGAGAGTTATCTTGAATTCGTGGAGCTTGTCAGTATCTCGAAGGAAGGCTGTAGTGAACCTTTGTAGTGCTGTTTGTCCAGTTGTCCAGTGTTTCTTTAGCTTCAGTCTCATCTTGGCCACAACCAGGTGGTGATCTGAAGCTATGTGAGCTCCTCTCCGGGTTCTCACATCTTCCATTGATCTTCGGAATTTTTGTTGATACAGATGTGATCTATCTAATTCTCTGTGGTTTGGTCCGGTGAGATCCATGTAGCTTTGTGTATGCGTTTGTGTGGAAATATTTTGCCGCCTATAACAAATTTGTTGAATGCGCATAGATTTGCAAGTCTCTCCCCATTTTCATTTCTCTCTCCTAGTTCATGTCGTCCAATTACATCTTCATATCCTGTGTTGTCCACTCCAACTTTAGCATTTAGATCTCCCATCAGGATGGTGAGGTCCTTTCGTGAACAGTTCTCTATAATTGATTGCAGACTTTTATAGAACTGATCTTTATCATCGTCGTTGCTATCATTGTTGGGTGCATAACATTGGATAACGTTCATTGTGATCCCTTGCTTCTTTGTTCTGAATGATGCTTTGATTATCCTGGGTCCATGAGATTCCCATCCACAAGTGCATTTCGTGCTTCTTTGGACAGAATTAGAGCAACTCCCTGAGTGTGTGTAGCATTTTCCTCTTCGTGACCGGAGTACAGCAGCATCTCTCCTGTACCTAGCCTTTGTTGTCCAGTTTGTGTCCAATGGGTTTCGCTGATTCCGAGTACTGCCAAGTTGTATCCCCTCATTTCGATTGCTATTTGGCTGGTCTTTCCTGTCTCCCACATTGTCCGGACGTTCCATGTACCTATAAAGAGTGTTGCTCTGGTTGTTAGAAGGTGCATCGGTCTCGTGACTTCCGAAGAATTTCGGCTTTCATCATGAGACGTCATAATTATTCCTTCAACTCCCAGGGCAGAGTTTAAATGGTTTGAATTATTTTTTCTGGTTAACGTTTTTTTAGCGAGTTAGCTTTTCTACGGGATGGGGTCGCTAACCCCATGCCCAACCCTCCTCCTTTACCCAGGCTTGGGACTGGCAGTAACTCTAGAAGAGCTACAGGCGGAGTTATTTTCTATAAACACTTTTTTTGAAATCAATAATCGAACTCAAAAATTCTCATTGAAATACGTACTTGAGCAGAAAATAATGAATTAAGATTATCAAGTTGTCTGAGGTAAACTGATATGGATTTTATCTTAACTCAAATAAAGCAACTAACGATATTAAGCATCATCTGTGAAAGGTTCTCAATATTTGACATTTGGTATGTTATGTGGTACTCTTTTCCTTGAGTTAATCTTTTGATAATTTCTGATTTAGAAAAAGTCAGTCATTGCTGTACAAGCAGCACAACGAACACGTTGGCTTACTTGGCTTGGATTAGGTGCAATGGGTATACAATTTGGATTACTGGCAAGATTAACATGGTGGGAATATTCATGGGATATTATGGAACCTGTGACATATTTTGTTGGCTATGGAACTAGCATGGCTATGTATGCCTATTATGTGATCACACGACAGGTTAGTTTGAATGCACCATTGTGATTCTTACGATCATTTTTTGTTGGGGATCCTGTCAATTTCATCTCGTTGAACCAACACACATCTCCACCAGGCTCCATATTGATGATGACTGATTGTGATTAGTGTACTTTTTTACCTGAAAAACATGAAAGGAGGTATTTTGAATACAATCGTAAGTGGTAGATAATGTATGGTTATTCTTTCATGCTTTTAAGGATACATTTACTTCCTGAATGCTCAGATGGACGGGAACCGTACGTAGCAATTTCTGTTGGTTCAAAATACAATAAATTGAAAATAAAAGTTTACTTAATATCGATTCAACAATCCACAGGGTGTATCGATTATTTATGTTACACAATACAGTTTTTCTTCCTTTTCATTATTAAGTTATTGGATAGTTCATTTACAATGCTTTCCTGAATTCAGTAATTCTTTATTCTAACTGAGCACATGACAATATTTTAAGTATTGTAGTACAACAAGTATTTATGCATGTCTATATATATTTTTTTGTCAAAAATATTCATTATTAGTTAAGTGAAATATATTTTCGTAACTGATCAATTTTTTTTGTTTTAAGACATACTTTTTTCGAAACTGACATACACATTTTGTGTACTATAGATAATTGAACGTGCGTGTGATTCAATCAAATAATATTTCATTAGTCACACAAACGGTTTTGAGTGTAACATTTAAAATGCAAACATACCGAAGAGATGTATCGATTTGTCGTATTAGGAATTAACAATCAAATTGTATCCAATATCCATTCTAGATCTCAAAAAAATAACTGTCCTGATGAACAAGGTCTAAAATGAAGCAATAACAATATAAGAATAGCTAATTTAAGTGTTTGGTACACTTACTTTATCTTGGTTCAAATTTATATCGAAATATATGATTACTTCAATCTGTTTTTTTTTGAGATCTGAATGTTGCGTACTCGACTGTACAATAATTTTTAAGGTAAAACAACTGCCTGATACTTCATGGTCTTTAATATTCCTTATGTTGTAATAAAATTCATATGCAATGATACAAGATCTTCCCACAATCATTCATCCTACCAAAAATTTATGAATCATTGATTATTCAGTTCAATTTCTATGGAAAAAATCTAAGTACTAGACAAACATAAAATTGGTCAGTAATTCATGATTACTCAATTGTATATATCTTAGTACGACTGAAGGCCATTCAACACCTGAATAACTCACTTGTAACTTCTCTGACTGCGAAACTGAGTGGCACGAGGTCGAATCCAACAGGAAGCATAAATTTCTTCAAGGTTAAAGGTACGCCTTGCTGGCGAGCTCAAAACAACAATAAACCAATATCCAAGGTTTCCTGCTGTCTACCTCTGATCATCTCATAAAAAGTTACTATACGAAACATTTATCAAGAATAAATGGGTGGTTATTATTACTCTCGGTGTCTGGATAAGTGTGTCGTTTGAATTACCTACATTTATCCAGCATGCTTGTAAAGTTGAAAATATTCTTATGATATACAAAACAGTCTGTACAATACTAATAAAACGTAGTCTGTTTTCATTTGAAAGTTTCACAATACAACTTTTTCACTTCTTGAAGCAATAATTTTTCTTATTTTTCCTAAATCTAAACCATTTATTGCAGGATTACACACTTCCCCAAGTATTTGATCGTGAATATCTTAAAAGCTTTTATAAATCAGCTGATAAATCATCATTTGACGTACAGCGTTACAATGAATTACGTGACGAACTAGCTCATTTGAAGTCAGAACTACGTCGCCTTAAAGATCCTCTTTTATATCAGTTACCTTTACAACAAACTGAATATATGGTACCTGAACAAGTTGAAGATATTCTAAATCAAACTAAGAATCCACCTCAAAAATAATACAAAAAGAACACCAATAAAAAAGTCTGCATCTATACTTCGTCTAATGCTTTTACTGTTTTCTTTTATGCCAGTTGATCTCAACTATAATCTATGACACTACAGTAATTATTATTAATTTATCTCTTTCATTTTACTAATTTCACCGTATTGCTGTTTTTATCTCATGCATCCTCTCGTTTTTGTAGCTTAGTTTTTCCAGCACATTGTCGTTGTGATGTCTCTTTACTTTTATCTTTGTTGTGAGTGAGAAATACAAATAATGATGATGATTAGTTTCAATTATGAATCTCTGTAATACAGTATGTTTTTATTTGTTTTCCTACATGTTCATATCAAATATATTTGTTAACGTCGGCCTAAATATTTCAGTTTAGCTTCTTCAATGCAACACTGAACAGTTCAGCATTCAAAAAAAACAATGAAAGAAGAGTGTACTCATTAAAAAATATGAATGTATTGTTTGTTTCTCGTCGTTAACTTTATTTTTCGAATAATTTTCTCATGTGAATAAAATGAGGACAATTATTGACTGACTTTTAAAGAATAATATTTGTTGTGAATTATGTGTTCAGAATGTCTTTCTTTCGTTAACTTCTTTTAACAAAACTAACAGAATAAATTTAAGGAGTCGTGAGACGTTTTACTGGGCTTTTGTACGAACCATGTATAGAAATCAATCTATTATTTTAAATCGAATAAATGACTGATTTCATAACTCATTTCATTAGTTGGAATTTGTCTTCGTGTGTATGTTTAGTGTGCTTGATTCTATTGCCTATATATTGACTGACGTATATAATTAGCTTTATATTTTTATGTCTCTAGTTTCTTCACTATAAAGATAAGTTATACAAATTTTCTCTCTTGTATACGTCCTAGCTTTGTTTATTTTTCTTTCTCCATATATGAATGATTTCTTTTTATAGCTTCTGCTCCATTCTGATTGTATTGTTTGTATTCCTGTCAACAGGTAAAAGCTCCTGATATTACAAAGGATAAAGTATGAATACAATTTCTAATTAGGTTTACACTTATTTGTTTGTTCTTGAATCCGACTTTTTGAGAATTTTTTTTTTCATTACAAAGTGTTGTCAGCTACAAAGTTAATGAGAGACTGCAGGAAATGAACAGTTGATTGATTTGGTATTGAGATATCTCATCAGTGTTCACCCACGCTCCTATATTGGATCGAATTTAGGAGAATTATAGTATCATAGTAATTAAATCACATGAGTCTAAATTCAAGAGTCAGTATTTTAAATTGTAGTGGTCAAGAGCGATCCTCATCTATACTTATAATACTTGTGACTTAAGGCAATCCGCACATGATGTACATATACCAAAAGGGACTGGTCAATCGCAGTTCCAAACATCAATGGTAGGATTCAAACAACCACCATAAACTAATAATACTTTGTCTGTTCAATAGCCCCCTGAGTACCTTACTAACATAATTGTAATCTAATAAAATGTTAGAAATCTTTACTCACGCACACCTCATAGTTATTTTAATACTCGATCAGTACATCAATATGACAATTGAATTTGAAGATAATACTTAAAGTTTTGTTGTATGTATTTTATCAGATACTTTCTAATAATAGACTCAATTATTCCAACATAATGCATTTCAATTAGTGAATTTTTCTCATGTAGTTGATATAGAAATATAATAGATGATAAGATTCTTGATTCCTAATTAAATTACATAGCATTAGCTTACTTTATACTAAAGAATATGCTCTAGAAATTTGTAAAAACTGCACAGTTTAAACAAATATATTTTTATGTTGTGTACTGTTCCATTTTTAATTAGTCTGTTCTGATAACCTTTCATTATGACAATTATGAACACTTTTCATTCATAAGCAGTATGACACTAAGGTTTTGCCCCTTAAAATGAATTGTTAACATCGGTTAATCAGCTTTTAAAACATTAGATTCCCCATATTATTTATGATCTCTTTGCATTTAATGCTTCACCAAAGATAACTTATAAACCATATTTATCCCTTAAGTCTATATATTCGAACTGAATGAGTTGGGAATAAAAGTGCTTTTCCACAAAATACCTGAAATCTTGGTATGTATATAGTATTCTGTTACTCTTGAGTGATATGCAGGTTTGAATACAGCATATAGTTTCAATCCGTGATCAATATACAAATCGTTAAAGATACTTAAAACTTAGTTATTTCCTGTACAATAAATACGTTTAGGGTAGTCTAGGGTGCAGAAGCAGCTATATTCTAGGGCACTGGCCTTCTACTAAGCACAAGTCATTAGGTGACAGTGCTAGGATCTCAAATTTTAGTTGTATCACTGTTAAAGGTATTGATTAATCATGGTGCTTCGTTCAACTAACACTTATTTATTAAATTTTGTACCGGTATTAATCCTATTATACAAACTAATGCTAAGTCATTTGTTCGGGGAAGATTTTACCGACTGCGCGGAACTTCTTTTAAAAATTACACTTGTAGCTGGTAACAATGGACATACTTGTTTGCTATATAGTTAAGAATAGAAAATAAAACTGGGTACATTTTTTGTGCCTTATTTAAAGATCAGTGCTTCCCTACAACAAGTTCATTCAATTGAGTAAAAATAAAATGTTAAAAATTTTGGACAAATAAGTCATCATATAATAACACTGAATTTTAAAAATTACATAAAATATGATCACCATTATCGATCTGTTAGAATCAATTGTTGCTACGTAGTTAAGTAATTTTTAGTATTCTAAATGCAAGCTTCTTGAAATGATGACAACAGTTTGTTTAAGGTCAGACAAGATAACCATGGTTTCATAAGTAACTGTGAGTAGATTAAGTTTTTGTAAGAACACACATACATCGGTACCAATTCATCAAACGAAATAATTAGACAATTTCATTTACAAATTCCATTTTTTAATATCAAATTGTTTTATCATAAAATTATAGTGTATATGAAGATAATAAATGCTGAATATCTGGAATAAGTTTATCTACTGTATGGTAAGTCATATCACGAGTCTGGTGTGTTGAAAGTGAGAAAATAATTTACAGCGGATATTGAATAGAATTATGCTTAGTCACAGATTGAATGAGTCTCATTCAGCTTGCTTGTTTCCAGAAGATCGCGGACTCGGAACTACTTAGTGTGTTGAGTACGCATTAGTGAGAGGAGTTTTGAACCGGGTTTACACAATAATTCAGTTCACTATAATTTCAGTAATTTTCTAAGTGATGTTACCTCGTAATGAAAATGACTGACCGATTCGAATTTTTCTTAGCAATGTAACAAATGTTACGAAAGAGATATACTTCCTTGAAAACAGAGATCCTTAATGTGTCATTTCAATCAGAAAATACTTAAATTTATTCCCTAACACATCTAGCTATAGAAAATCTGTAAACTCAGATGGGTATGATCATTTTGAAAAACAAATGCACACACTGAAAAATACTTATATAAACATGAGCCGATTATAGCTAGACCACCGTGGAAAACCTGGAAGCACTGGACGGCCGTTTCATCCCATTATGGTACTTTTTAACAGTGCACATCCACGATCCCTCATATGGGACTCAAATCCAGGACACTCGATCTCGCGCGCGAATGCCTAACCTCTAGACCACTGAGTCGGCATCCAATGGTGTTAATGTCTAACTCATAAATTCAATTTTTAAACTACTACAATAACCACAAAATCCCATTCTGATACTTATGTAAACATTTATACCATCTCTAAATCAATGATTAGAGTGTTATGCCTATAATATATTTAATCATATTGGTAACATGATGTATGCAAGAGATGAACAGCGTTGTCAGTTCACGTATTTATAATTTTAGTGGAAATAAGTATTTTTTTTCAATTCCGTTCCTTCCCTTTTTATTTGTCAAATGTCAAAATGGGGATTTTCACTATAAGTATTTTTGTTGTTGTTGAATTTATTCTTGAAATTCAGAAATCAACAAAACTTATTTATGGAGACCCTTGAAATATAAACCAACAAGAAATTGAAAACTAGTCCAGTCCAATTTTATTTATCAATACTGTTTTGTTCTAACAATATGTAGAAAATACATAACCAGTGGATGATCTTAGAGCGTTTAATCAGTAGAGGCATTTTGTACCTCTGAAATACCTGTTCAGATTTCGGCTAATTAGTTCAGTTATGATTTTGAGTAGATTTTCGTAGGATAAGGTTAAAAATATATAATAGTCTTGTAGAGGCTAGCTCAGTATAACAAATTGATTAAAGATGAGGTCCCAACTCATTAATTTTACAGAGTCATGCTTATCGCTGGATTTGAAGCTCTTGAGTTCATATTATATTTGAAACCTTAGTTGTGCATGGCTAAAATGATCCGAATCAAAACTCAACAACTTATCCTTCAATTTCAACGGTGCTTCAGTTGATGTCAGTTCTTTAGTATGTATTATGTTTTTGTGTATCTGATGTGTGAAACTTCAGTAGTTAAAACAACCACATTCAACAAAAGTCATGGGATGTAGAGCGATTTTATCACAAAAAAATATTTTTATGGTGAGAAAGAAAATGAACGGTATAATTTAGATTATTTTATCTTCATTACCATAGTTACAGAAAACTTTACCACAAGTCTGTTTACACAAGAAGTCAGCAAAAATATTCAACATTAATCATTAAAGCGTTTACTATGTTAGTAATGACCTCTGAACAGAAGCTTAGATCACAGAGTAATGTTTCCTAATGACTTGATTTTCTTTAAATATCAAAGAATTATTCACAGTTGAAATCATGAGTCAATTGAAGCTAGACCACCATCGAAAACCTGGAAGCACTGGATGGCCGTTTCGTCCTATTATGGGACTCCTCAGCAGTGCGCATCCGCGAACCCGCTCTCGCGAGCGAGATTCGAACCCAGGACCTACCAGTCTCGAGCCGAAGCCCTTAACCGATAGACCACTGAGCTGGCATCCAACGGTGTTAATGTCTAACTTCAACCAATCCACGATATTGAGCGACCGTTTACCAATTGTCCTCAGTGAGATGATATCTCTACAACAGACCTGGTAGAACTCCACTGGCCACTGCTTCCCACTAGAACTCAAGGAAATATCTCTTGAAGTCAGTCACTAGTGAGCATATGATTATAGATCAGAGGGGGTTTTGTGGAGAATTTAGTATTTTCACAGTTGAAATCATGAGTCAATTGAAGCTAGACCCCTCTGATCTATAATCATATGCTCACTAGTGACTGACTTCAAGAGATATTTCCTTGAGTTCTAGTGGGAAGCAGTGGCCAGTGGAGTTCTACCAGGTCTGTTGTAGAGATATCATCTCACTGAGGACAATTGGTGAACGGTCGCTCAATATCGTGGATTGGTTGAAGTTAGACATTAACACCGTTGGATGCCAGCTCAGTGGTCTATCGGTTAAGGGCTTCGGCTCGAGACTGGTAGGTCCTGGGTTCGAATCTCGCTCGCGAGAGCGGGTTCGCGGATGCGCACTGCTGAGGAGTCCCATAATAGGACGAAACGGCCATCCAGTGCTTCCAGGTTTTCGATGGTGGTCTAGCTTCAATTGACTCATGATTTCAACTGTGAAAATACTAAATTCTCCACAAAACCCCCTCTGATCAAAGAATTAGTTTTAATCTATTTCAACAAATGGTACTTAAAAACAACTTATAATAAGTTATGGACTTTCAGGTTCCTTTTTCTTAAACACTTATTGTTGTGGGGTCGTCCGAGTTTGATATTGATATACATGTTTCCACCATTGAAAACCTGGAAGCAACGGACGACCGTTTCATCCATTGCTTCCAGGTTTTCAATGGTCGTCTAGCTTAGATAGACTCGTGAATTCAACTGTGAAAATATATTTTATTCCCTCAAAAAATAAAACCACAATTTTAACCAGTACTGTGGATCCGATAGTATTTCTCACTTATCATTCTGCATATTTCTAATTCTCCCAGCTGATCACATCAGGACATGAAGAAATCTAAGCTTCTACTACTAGTAAATAAACGCTATAACTAAATTGTCTTAATCCCAAATTACTTTTCATAATCAGAATTCGATGTGGCACTGATGATTCATCGAAAATAATACTAAAGTTAATGTCCTGGCCCTATTATAGAACTAATTATTCAGTAAGTAATATCATAAAAAGTGTCATCATCCAAGGAATTTGTGTAATACATTAATCGAAAACTTTAATTCTAATCAAAGCAACAACACAATCATTCTTATTTCTTTACATCACTTCCTATATTTGGATTCATTCATTTCTGTGCAATGAATTACATAGTTTTACGTAACTACTGAAGTGTACATAGACTTTTAGACTGGTTCCCGTTGATAATAGGGGGTGGAGTTTTCCTAGATAAAACTGTAAATTAGAGTAATAATATAACAGATTTTTAAATTCAGTAGCTAACTACTTAAATCTCAAGTAGTTATACTCTAACCTATTCCGTACTTGAAAAGATTCGAAAGTCTTGAAGTAACAAGTACACTTTATTCCATGTAGCTTATAACAAATAATTCAACTTTTTATTGAACTGAAATATTGTAATCATTACGACAATGGTAGTGCGTATATTCCTGAACTGCTTTCAAATATCTCTCGACACCAGTTATTTATACCGCGCAATGTTGTTTTCGTATCAGTCATATTAACTTACGAGTATTTCTTTAGTGAAATCTCAATATCCGAATATCTAATACCTTAATCGATAACCTAGTACTACTATTTTCCCTTCTATCC